AGTTTGGTGAGTTCCTTATAGATTCTGGATATTAACCCTTTATCTGATATGTCATTTGCAACTATCTTTTCCCATTCCGTTGGTTGCCTATTAATTTTCTGGGTTGTTTCCTTGGCTGTGCAGAAGCTTTTAATCTTGATGAGGTCCCAACAATTTATTTTTGCTCTTGATTCCCTTGTAAAGCACTTAATTCTTGTTCATACCAATAATTTGGATTGCTGGGTCAGCTTCAATTTTCCTGTTTATTGGTTCTCTTTGACTGCTCTGCAGTCATATTCTGTTCTGCAATCCCACATTTGGGATTTATGACAGTAGTTGAAATGGGAAAGACTGACAGAAGGAATCTGCAGGTTATATTTCAGTTTGATGCCATTTGGGCACCTGTGTGTATCAGCTCCAGGCCCACTTCAGTCTCTGAATACTGTCTGCAGGGCTGCCATCTTATAAGTGCTGTCTACAGTACCACATTGCCCCCACTACTAATAAAGTTGCATTGAATAATTGAGTGTAACCAGGAAATGGCTCAATGCAGAACTGAGTTGGCAAAAACTACTTTGTAATTTGCACTAGATCTGCATGAGGGCAGTAAGCAAAAGTTTCGGCCAAGGTCCAAAAAACATTCAGTTACAACAATACACAAAACTTGTATTAACAAGTAAAAGGTAACAGCTAACTTGTCCTAACAAGCAATGTTATGACTCAAAAGCAGAGCTGGGATGTTAATGAAATGAAGGTACCTTGACAGGGAATAGAGGATTCAGTTAATTAAAAGGAATTGCTACCCACCAATTTAGATCAACAGCTTACTGAGCAGAACTGCTGTATAGTTAGTTCAATTTTTAAAATACACCGTTGGCTCTTAATAAGCATTAAATTGCAATAGAAAGTATTGAAGAATAACAGAATCAAGCACAATAAGGAAAGATGACATGCTATTAAAATCTACTCAACTAGGAATTCCTTTAAGGAACAAGAAAAGCAAAGTCAACTGTATTAAGTCAAGTTTAGGAGATAGAGCTAAAGTGAGGGAGGGCACGATGCATTCCTTATAAAAACCTGAATATCACAAAAGCTCTCAGGAATTATTTTAAAAAATACTATTAAAGATGTAGATATGGAAATAGGAGGTTGCCAAAGGCTAAAATTTAGAAAATGACACAAAATAGTCCTAGGAGAATTATTAGGTTCTGTATAAAGGTGGTGATTTGTACAAAGTTTTGCTCCTTTTCCAAGACCTTTCAAAAAGGAATACACTCAGAAGGGCTAAAAGGACAAGAAGCAGAAGAGAAGCCAAATTCTGGAAGCGGGAAGGCCAGATGGATGAGTGTTAAAGGACTTATCAGAAGCCCTAGAAAACAGACTCCTAAGCCAGCAGTGGGGAAGCTGAGAATGAACCCAATTTACATTTGCAGAAGCCCTCAGATGTCAGGAAGTGAGGGCGGATTACAACTTTCCTTGAGAAGCAGTGTGATG